TGTCAGTCAAATATAAGGACGACCTTGGACACAATACCCATAAGTCCAGATGACTCCCCATCACTCAACTACACATCATTTAGCCCCTCCTTAAACACTGTCATGATTGGAAATAATAGGAACATAAAAATGAATAAATGCGTCTAATAAAATGTTGCAAAATCTATGCCCCCCCCCACCCCCTCCTCTCCTATCCCTATTTCGTGCTCTTTTTTGTCTCTTGCCAAACCCACAGTCAATATAAAATTACCAAAGCCACAGAGTGGGAGAGGGTTTTGGGGAGAATCCACATTTTTTAAACATATGCATTTCCAGTTCCTCTTTTGTTCTGTTATTAAAAGCAGCATTCGCACCAATCACAAGGGAGGCCTCCGCCCGCTGCGGCCCACTATACCTCCACACACTTCCACTATCTCTCACGCAAGCTTGGTACAAACAACCTGACAGACACGTCCTGACCAATATCACAAAACACATCAAATCAGCTTGTTCAACTTTCTTTTTTTTATTGCAGGAGAGTTAACAATCAGGTCCCAGCAATATGTTAACACCACGCTGGTCATTTAAAAGCAAATGTATCAGTTTGAATTTGGCTAATATATAATGTTAAGATCACACAATGTATCCAAAGTGCTATTAGTTGACAAAGACAGTATTTTACATATTTACAGTTTTATATTTCCTAATCTGAGGAGTTTGAACTAATACAAATAAATGACGTATTTGTACAATAAGGGAAGCTTTGAAGGTCCACACTCATGACAATGTACTATTTGGTTCCATTTGATCCCATCACTGAAATCATGCTTTTTTTCTTTGAAGAGTTGAACTTCACCTCCGAAGTCTGAAATAAACATAAAACTCTTTATCTAAAACACTGTATGGCTTCAGTGAGGATGCGGCCACATTTACACGCCCAGCTTGCTTCCTGTTACTTTGCATATTTTACAGTATATATCTTCTGCTTTCCACTGCAGGTGGGATCTGTCCATCGTGGCTCCATGAGGTGCTGGTGCAGTTTTCACAGTGAGATGGCAAGTTTTGTTTCAGTGCTACGTTAAGACATATCCTTCCTCACAGTCCTTGACAAATACCTGATTAATACTCAGCTAGCTGCTGGAGATGTATGTATTTTATGGCTTTAAAAAACAAATCCAGTTTGTGTCTTTAAGACCAATGAAAAGTGGCGAGGAGGCGTTGGCTCCTGCAGTCAAAGACACAAGTATCGCAGCTAAAATTGGTTTGTTTTACTATTATTGTTTTAACATGTCTTTATATGGAGGCCAGATGTCATGATTAGCAGCTTTCTCTCCTGGTTCTTTGTACCCCGTAATTACGTTTTTGATGTGAAACCCATTTTACACCACATGAGTCAACAGGCAGAAAGGACAAATGCTGCACTACTTGTGCTTTCGTCTGATCTGGAAGAGCTTTTTGAATCCCCCTCCCCGCCTTAGTCCGAAAAGATCAAGAGGGGCCTCTTGTTCCAAAGATGTGGTCAAACTCGCTGAGGATGAGCTCCACCGCCTGATTCTGGTAAACCATATTCACCGCCATGTTGCTGTTGTCCCGCTCTGGACGCATGAGGGTCGGTCCGAACACGATGCCGATGTTCTGGGTGGTCATTCGATTGTTGCATGTCTTCTCCAAAACTCTGTAGATAGATTAAACACATAAGAGATAGCTTTAACATTTAAATATCAGCAAAAAATGTCTCTGGATAACAGATTATGAATTGTTCAAGTTGGCGGATTTTAATTTCTGGTCAAGTTTGTAAAATGGTTCTATTTTGGGCCTAAATTGAAATATCTCACTGTGTGATGGCTTTAATACCCTTTAGATCAGGGGTGTCAAACTCAAGGCCCGGGGGCCAAATCCGGCCCGCGACTTCATTTTATGTGGCCCGCAAGAGCTTGCAAAGAATATAATACGTTTATTATACGGTTACATGCTACTTTACAGTATATCTATATATGTTCATTTTAATTCATTTCTTATTTTATAGTTATTTATCTTCTTTTTTTTTTACCTTTGATTTATCCTTAATTGTATTAATCTGTGTGAATCTGTGCTGTCCTGTTTTTCAATCTTACCCTGTTGCTGTTAAACCACTGAATGTCCCCACAGGGATTAATAAAGGTCCATCTTATCTTATCTTATTTTACAGAAGCATGTTGCCAATAAACTACATGTCCCACAATGCATCTCATTTTGTGACATGCGCACTGAAGAGACTTAGACTTCTGCTTTCAGACGTAGTTAATTATGAAGTTATTACCCTATCCAATAATAATCCAATGCAGAGGCAATAATATAATACATTATTTCATATATGTTATGTATTTATGTATATTTATATAGTTACAACCGGCCCTTTGAGTGCAACCATAATGCTAATGTGGCCCACGATGAAATTGAGTTTGACACCCCTGCTTTAGATGATGTACCTTCATGACTTTGTTGTGATCCCCTGACCTTTCCTAAAGCATCACCATGGTGTGGCACATTTGTGGGGATTGCCAAACAAAGTGTATTTATATAGTCCAATATCACACATTTTGCATTTGTCTCAGGGGACTTTATAATTTCTATAGCATATGAATATGACACCCTCTGCCCTTAGACCCTAGCATCTGACAAAGAAACCCCACAGTTAATGGGGAAACATTGAAGAAACCTTAAAGAGAGCAACAGATGAGGGATCCCTCTTCCAGGACGGACAGACGTGCAATAGTAGTGTGTCAATTAAAAAGATTTAAAAAATAGAACAACATAGAAAGAACATTTTGGTTAAAATTAAGAGACACTCAGCCATTAGCAAGTCAAAATTATTAATCTGTCTAATTTCTATTTAGCATTTGTATATTATGTATATTATCATCCTGTTAGACTGATGCCATTACCATCAGTCTCAGCTGTACTTTGTATTAAGTGCTCAAATGTTAAAACCCTGCTTAACATCAACATGTTACTGGGGGCATGTCAGCATGTTGTTGTTAGTATTCAGCTAAAAGCATCACTCTGCCCGAGTACATCCCCACAGAGAGGCCAGCAGTGTTGTAGACTTTATTCTTATTGGAATTCATCTGTGAGACTGCAGACACACAGATGACTGCTAGCTTCCCACACAGCTTCATTCTTGTGGTCAGCATGTGACATTTTTAACCTTCTTAAAATCAGGACAGCAACTAAAAGAATCAAAGTCAACCAGTGACATCTTGTTTTTTGCATGCATGTTCATGTATCTGCACTGTGTCTAAATCCAGTATCCACCTATGTTGTGTGTGTGTGTGTGTGTGTGTGTGTGTGTGTGTGTGTGTGTGTGTGTGTGTGTGTGTGTGTGTGTGTGTGTCAGAGCTATCAGGAGGTATTGAGCAGGTCTAATGATCACGAGGTTCTCAGCGTGGTTTCGGTCTTAGTGACGGTCGACTTCAGTGCCGTGTGCAACGCCTCCAACGACCTGGGGACGGAGAGCAAGACGTTCAGCATCAGAGCCAGTAAGACAACATCCACTCTATAATATCTGTGAACACAAGTACTGTACTTAGTGCCACTTCGAGGTACTTGTACTTTACTTAAGTACTATCTTTTTATTTTATTTTAATTTATTTATTTTATTTATTCATTTATTTAACAGGGACAGTGCACATTAATGAACATTTCTGTATATGTGCCAGAGTTAGCCAAGAGGCTATTTTTCATCTGTAGTCCCTGGACAGATTTTAAAAGTCAACCTAAAACACATTTCCTTTTAAACAAGTAAATACAATACATTTAAAACATGCAACAGACATTACTGGGATACTTAAATAAAACAATTTAAAATACAGAACTTTAAAACAAAACAAATAAAACAAAACAAAAGAACATGTTAAAACACACGCAGTGGGTTGTAAGGAGCAGAAGATTGTACTTGTACTTCACTATCATTCAACGGTCAATATTGTATTTTTTACTTCAATACATACACCAACACCCTTAATAGATTGAAACAACATTGATTATTATCTATTTCTTAAGTATAACTTTTAGTTTTTATAATTTTTATTTTGAAATAAATTATGTTTTATGTACTTTTTACTATTTTGACTGTTTTTACAAACCGAGAAAATACAAATGAAATAATATAATATCCTTTTCCACAGTAGGAACTTCTGCATTTAATATTTGACCTCCATTTTGCTGATGATACGTACTTCTTGGTCTGAATGCACTGACCACACTTTGCATTTAAACATTGGGGGTTTAAAAAAGAGCCCAATTCATTTCTAATCTGTTAACACAATGCACACACATTAAATGCACACGTTAGACTTTTAAGAATATTTACGTTTGCAATTCCCAAAGCTGCTGCGTTAAAATAAGTTATAAGTGTGTGTGTATAAACGTGTGTGTGTATTAGTGTGTGTAAAGTCTTAATGGTTGTTCTTCTCTTCAGTTCCCAGACTGACCTCAGCGGCTCCCTTCTCTCCAGGTAAGATAGTCTCTCTGGTCCTATTTTATCCTTTCAATCTTTAAAAACAAATGTTATTTATATTATTATTATTTATTTATATGGTCAGTATCAGGTTACACGAGCCAGATGTGCTGCATGTAGAGTTTATTAAGTACATCTAATAACCTAATAAACTCAAACTCAGTGACAAAAACTACAATATTTAAAATAGTGCAGAGACGTGTGTGTGTGTGTTTTTATTTGTGTATAGAATAGTGCGTTATGTACCAGCATGCATCTGGTCTTTAGTAGTATGTGTGTGTCAGTTGTACGTATGTTTTTCGTCATGTTACATGTGTTCCCTACATGTGTATCTGTCAAAGTATGTTGCATGCGTGTAGTGTATGTGTGTGTGTGTGTGTGTGTGTGTGTGTGTGTGTGTGTGTGTGTGTGTGTGTGTGTGTGTGTGTGTGTGTGTGTGTGTGTGTGTCGTCATCGCCTCTCATATTTATTAATGAGGAGGCGGCGGCCACAGGGAAACTGGCTGCTTCTGGTTTCCAGCATAAATACAAAGCGCAGCCGGTCTCAGGGAAAACGGACACAAAGGAAAGAGGAGCACTCAGAGGTTTTAAATCGGAAGACCAAGAGAGTCAGGTAACCAGCTGCTCCACTAAAAACATTTAGGAGCATTTGTATTCAACTGCAGGGCAGGGGGCGATTTAAATGTTGACTAAAATGATTCCGCTATATACGTACATTCACATCGCAGGAGAAACAGTGAGAACAGCTTATTTTCTGTAGTTGTCAGAGCTTTGAGAAAACGTACATTACGCTTTATGTCACCTAGTTGTTGACAAAACAGTACAACGCTGCACAAAACAACAACAACCTCCTGTAAAGCAGAGCGAGCACAGGAAACGTTATTTACACTGATGTATTGTAAGTCGTTTAACGGGACGCTGCCTGGAATAAGGTGGATTGTGTTTTTCGCTTTTTTGGTTAATTCAGGTTCAGGTTCATGTCTAAAATGTGTATGTCTTGCTTTGTCTCCATCACATGGTGTCCTTCGCAGGCAATAATCAGAGTAAGTCAGTGAAGTTGTCCGCTTTGTCTGCTGCCACTTTGGCATCTCATTTTATACGTGGCAGTAAGGCTTTCAGAGGAGTTTCCATGAAAGCAAGCAGCATATAGGATTACAAGAAACACTTTGATCCTCTCTCTGTCTTCAGAAAGATTTTCTTCTTACCTATTTAAAGTTTTTATTGTGATATTTTTCTTTTATTTGCACATAGATATCAGTTTCCACAAGCCACCGTTAATAAAGGGTTAATGAATTGTAGCTAATGGCTGTATGAATGGTGAATAATTCATTTAATTCATGTTTAACAGTCACTTATAATCTACTTATAAAAGATCAAGAAAGATCAGGTCACGAAAAAAACGCTTACTCACTTTCTAATAAGCCTTTGCTTGTTATTATTAAGACACTAAGGAAATGGTCTTTAACAGAACAAGTCTGTGAAGAGATTTTGGTTTCAGTTTGTGGTCAAACTGTCCAACCAGATGAAAACAAGTAATAATGCAGTAACAGTAGTAAGTGCTTTATAATCTCTCAATTTTGCCATTAGTTATAAAATATCAACTTTTTATAACAAGTGTTTGTTGCACAGTGGTGCCTGTGTTTTTTTGTTTTGTTTTTATGAAAGCAATAGGCCCTACTTAACAAATAACATATATTTTATTGGTCTCCCTCTCTTTCTGATAATACTTTCCTGTCATCATTCTGTACTAGAGAGCCTGTGTGTCATAGATATACTACGAAAGCCACAGGGCACTCATTAACTGCACCAGGGGAACATCCAGTGTGGTGTACAGTAGTAGAACGTGTGTGTGTGTGTGTATGTGTTACAGAAAATGCAGATGTGAGTGTAGACACAGCTGGAAAGCGCAATGTTAGGAGTAAAAGGAGAGAGGAGAGCAGTAAAGGCGAGAGACAGGGAGTCGGATACATTCATTTAAGATATTCCCACTAAACGCCAGCCCTGTTCTTCAAAAGGCCTCTGGCAGATGCACTGTATTGTAGATTGCCATTTCTAGGTCAGTAGTAAACCCCTATCCACCCCACCCCCACCCTGAGCTGCCTATCTAACCAAGGCCAGTCCACACATTAATCTGCAGGGTTGGTGTAAAGCATGGAGAGGGGGCATGTGGCGAGTGTATCAACCAGCCGTTGAATAATTACAAGCAACAAGGGAGGGTTGCAAAATCTGTTACAGGGGCGTGTATGCTAAGAGTTCGAACACTGTCTACGAATTAGTTGTGTTGTTCCTTTGAAGTCACTGTGGCGTACGTATTTGGAGAATCAAGTACATTTTTGCACTGAAATTAGCTTATTTGTATAGCTCCAAGCCTAACAATAAAACATTATTTGTGAGTTAACACTTGAATCTTTGAAGATATAATATAGATTTCCCTTGAAAGGATGGAAAGATGTTTATTGTAAAAGTTAATTGAATTGCAGTGAAGTCCACCAATCTTTTCTAACCTTATTGTAGTGAAAAGCGAAAGATTAAATCTGGTTGGTCATCCTGTTTCTGCTGCCAGAGTATGGATTTCTGGCACGAGAGAATATACATATACATATGCATAGAGAGAAATATACTGTATTCTGAAGAGGTCAACACAGTAGTGAGAATTTTAGAACAAAGAACTTGAAACAAACACTTTGTAAAGGATTTAAAGTTGAACCTTGTTCCTTGAGTTTGTTAATTTGGCCTTGTCAGTAACAGGGACTGCAGGTTTGTTGAAGTGTATATTTACTTCAAGTTCATATTCATAACAAACAAAGAAAAGGCTAAGACATGTATGCAAATATACGCAAAAAAATGCAAGTGCAGGAAATTCAAGCTTACAGATTGAAATAGCCTCTATAGCCCCTAAAATATATTATGAGGAAAAACGTGTTTCAGAAATGGAAACAACTGTGTAAAACAAACAGCTGCTCCCTGGGGTCTCATGGCAGTAAACACTTTCACAACCTATATTTTTGCATTTAGTAACATATTGTGATTTACATAACGTTTTTCTCACATTACTCACAAGACATTTGCTCATTGGAAGTAAACATACATTACCCTTCATCAGAAAGGATTTACATGGTTTAAAAGGTAATACTAAGAAGATGTTTCATAAGCTAATAGATTTACAACCTGGTGCTAATGTAAATAATAGCCTTTTATATGTTATGATATTAACATACATGTACACAAACAAACATGCAATTAACCGCAAAGCATTATGATCACTCGTTACTGTAAGTCATCGACAAAGAGCAACATTTGGCCCGAAGCCACAAAACATGCGACAAAATATAATACATTACAAAACAATATAATCTACCCTGCATTCTCATTTTGTCAGATAGGCTGTCAATCTTTGTTGTTTGCCACAAAGCAGAGTCCTCCTGGGAACCTCACCTATTACAGCTGTGAAATATAAAAGAGCCGCGGTTTGAAAACATCCATCAAAAAGAAACAATTTGTACCGTCTATTCTTTATAGCTCTACACGTTACAGCGCAGGAAACAAACATGTTAGCCTCCACCACAGATTTGATAAACAAGCGCCACAGAAAAAAACAGAAAAGCCTTTTGTTGGTTGGGATTATATCGAAACGATTGAGAAAGCTTTATAAATCCTACAAGGGGAAACTCGTTTGACACCAACAACAGACAACAGACATAATATAATACAATACAGTTGAGAAATGATCAACGGCTAAATGAGGCGATATTGTTGTTAAATACAAAAATATATATATATCTTTACCATCAGTATCATTTTAGGTGATACTGCTTTTAATATTTGATTGTTACAAAATAAAAAGATGTGACCAACGTTTCCCTTTACTTTTCTTTAAAGCCCAAGAATGAGTCCATTCATGTTGATGGAGCTGAAACATGGCTTTATTTGGCACTTACAAATACTTGGATTACGCGATATAGATATATAGATAAGCCTTTTCAAAGTCTGATATACACCTTTTTCTTACAGAAGATGAATTCACAAGATGTTGTATTGAAATTATTAATAGGCCTGTCAAAGCAAATCAACCAATATGTGAAAGTCCAATAATTCCACAAAGCAATCAGGCTCATGTGGTCATACAGTCGGATCAGATCACCCTTGTGCTGACCCGTCCAGATGAAAAGGTTTAAACCACATCTGTGTTCGAGGTCCGCGTACAGCCAAGATTTAGGTACAGGAAGTAGAGATTTACAGAAATCCCTGTATATGACCTCTTTGGATTGACATCACACTCAGTTTCTTACTTCAACAAATGTTACACCCACGCATCTGTTCAGCAGCGGGAGCTGAAGATGTCCCCTTTGACTCTTTGTCAGCTCTCGTGAATCATCTTGCTAACAACACAGTTCCACAAAAGTGGAATCAACGGTAAAAGCAAGTGTAGATGGAATCTTTCTTCGGTCACAGTTATCTGGATTTGCTGTGTAAGTGTAATGACCTCATATTATGAATAGCTGCATCAGCAAATAGGTTGATAATAAATTCATTTTTAATGCTTCTCTCTTTCATATTGTATTAAACTGATCATCTTTGGTTTTAGGACTAACAAAAGAAGACATCACCTTGCGTTTATAGAAACAGTTTTTCCATATTTTCTGACTATTTATAAAGCCAACAATTAATGTCTTTATCAGGAAAATCACTGGCAGACTAATAGTTCATGAAAATTGTTATTACTTTTGTCCCCTTAATAATATATTATAGGGCTCGTGTGTATCACAAATATTAGTTTAATAAACAAGTCTTTCGGACGTTTAATCTCAAACTGTGGGAAACATCAGTTTTGTTTTTCACACACATCGTACTATGCAATACCCTGTGTCCTGTGATGCTGCTGTAACAAAGCGTGGAGTTAGTGTTTGCATGTATTGTGTAACACCAGGATATCACGTCTCTACTGAGAGGACTTACTAGTGTTACTCATGCATGTCAGGACAGGAAAAACAGACACATTTCATATTAAGAGCTCTCCGATAACAGTTATAACAGTGAACGTCTTTCAGGAATGACGGCCACATACTGTTAAAAACGTCCTCTATTGGCTGAACGGGAACATCTTCTGAATAGACACCCACTGTGATCTCACACACAGCTGTCCATACATTCACAGCAGGGGGCCTTATGTACTGCGACAACAAGGTTGCTTGTGTATTCTTCACTCTGTATGTCACAGTCCCTGAGCTCTTTCACTATATATTTAAAGATGTGGAATAATCAATAATTGTTTTTGTGCAAAGTATTCTCTACCATAGACTTTGGCCTTGTGTTCAATAAACGGTGTTGTCCACATGGAAAATACTTTTAATTAAATGAAACACAGTCATAAATGAAGCTGTAAATGCAGGTAGAAGTATTGGGAAAATTGATTAATAACACTTATCAGCTATAAAAGATATCTGTGTAGTCAGCACGTAACTAGCAACAATAAGGAACAGAGATCCAAAAAAGTTAAATTATCTCCAAGCCGTTCATTGGCCTTTTTCTTTGCTCATTTTTGGTCAGGCCAGCATATCTTTTTTGTTATGAGTCATGCCATTTTTTGAGATATTTGTTTCTAAAATGTTGACTTCCATCCCTGTACAATGCAGGTACACACAAGATACACTTTTAAACTATTCACCATATCAACAAAGCGCGTAGGAGGCAAAATACAGCAACCCAAAATTAACAACCCAACAAGGAGTGTGAATAAAAAGTAAATATATATCATTTATAGAACATACAAATTCAAAAATACATCTTTATTTTCACTGGATATAATTCTGCTGTATGAGCGTCTGTCACACTTTGACCCAGTGTTATGTTGTTGCCTTTTTTTTACCTGGTTCCTTTTCTTGAATTTGCCCACAGACGCCATCGAAGAGGATCTTGGACGGCATGCAAAGTTGTGAAATTTCCTCAGACAGCACTGATGATCCTCTTAGTAGTGGTTTACGAACTCATCGGCAGCCTCGAATAGTAGTCATTGGTGCTGGGTTGGCCGGCCTTGCTGCGACTAAGATCCTACTGAAAAACGGCTTCACTGATGTCACTGTCCTAGAGGCGTCAGACCACATCGGCGGGAGAGTTCAGAGTGTTCAGCTCGGTGAGAAGACATCGCTGTTTACCTCATGTTACCTCAAACTTTATGCTCAAATTATTTATAAATAATGTGTACCTTATTTATACCTGCAGAGAACGGCTGTGCTTGCAATCATTCTTATCTTTAAAATGCTGTTATCTCAAGATCACAGGTTAATTATTTTTGTATTAAAATATCAATCAGTGTGCCTTATGCAACACTTTTATTAAGCTAAATACTTCTTTCCTTATCAGCCAGAATTCAATTATTTTTAAATAACCCAGATGAATGTGCTTATGTCCAGTTAGTTATCTGCTTCAGCCACTTAGTCAGATTTTCCCAACACAGTCAGATGAACTGCAGGTCTTCAGCTAAAAAAAAATGTATGGCAAATTATTTCAACAGGCACGAACAAATAAGTCAGGGACAGCATCTGCTTGTGGCAATGTTACTGTATGCACATGAAAGAGGTCACGTGTAAAGACATACATACTGTGGCAGGCACTGAGAATTGCGTCTGTTATGTAAATGGCAGTTTATGTGCTTCGGCTTTATGTAACCATAGTCTTTGCATTTCCCTATTTTTTATGATATAAATGAGTGTAAAAAAGGAAACGGTGCGTGATGCCATCATCATCAGGAAAAATATGAAACTAATGGTATTCCAGTGGGCTTAAACAACTGCAGCGTGTTAATTGAGTTGACCAGTCCAATTATCTTACACTCAAATGTGATTGTGCCTTAACAAAGCACAGTTGAGTTCAAAGAGATACATTTTTTCCAAACTCAAATTGATCTGTGTGCCTTTTTGTTCACTCTTTTGTTAGGAAAAGCAACTTTGGAGCTTGGAGCCACCTGGATCCATGGAGCCAATGGGAACCCAGTGTACCACCTGGCGGAGGACAACGGGCTGCTGGAGCACACCACGGACGGGGAGAGGAGCGAGGGACGCATCAGCCTGTACACCAAGAATGGGGTGGCTCACTACCAGACCAACGCTGGGCGGAGGATCCCCAAGGACCTGGTGGAGGAGTTCAGTGACCTGTACAACGAGGTGAGGGGACGCATATGAACACACAGACAGTGAATTAACAATTATATGCACAAATGAAAGCATGCATGTACAAGAGCTGAGAGGTACTCACTGTTCAGCCTGCCTCACAGCAAAGTGTTTTATTTAATTTAAGTGATATAGCATTGGTAAACCTAACCCTAAACCCATGCAGATTAATATTATTAAAACCTGCAAAACGTGGTTTCCAAAAGTTTGAAAAATATTGTCAAATGTGTGAAAAAAACATTTTACGCAAAGAAATATTTAGATCAGACCAGCCATACAAATGTGGAGAACATCATCCAAGTCTGTTACAGAATGGGAACATGCTGGAAATGTAGAATAGATAACATCCAGTCAGACTTCAAAAAGCTTTAAGCTACTTATGTGGAAAATAAAACCACTCCTTACATACATTACACTATTATTAAACATATCTCCTGCCATGTTGAGGTAAAGCAGTAAAATGTCCACTAAAGCGTGCCGGATTTAATGAGGAGTGGTCATTTTCATCGGTCCACTTCTCTGCTGTGTGCTCAGTGGCAGGCCGCGTAAAGAATGATGATTATAGTTTAATTAGGTCACGCTGAACAAGCAGTTACAGAGAGAATGCGAGGAAACCACAGAAAGGATTTGCTTTCTGTTAACCATTTGGGTTTTCTGCCTGATCTCAGGGCCAAAATGATCCACATTTGCGGCCATCTGTTTGTGGTAAATTGTCTTAACTAATGTCCACTTACACCTCTAGAGCCTTATTATCCTGAGACTGGAGATGTTTTCCTTCTTGTCTTCATTTAGCAGCCCTGTAAAGTCTTCTTGTCTACCGTTTCTCTTGTTCTCTTTTAACTTATAAACACTCTCATCATGCCTTTTTCTGTATGTTGTTGCATATAGAGCTCCTTAAAACAGGTATGCTACTTTTAAGCATATGATTAAAGTTGACTGGACTGGACTTGTAGAGCCTGTAAAGCAAACATTTTGTTTTTCAGTAGTTGCTGTGATGACGAGAGACGAAACACAGACTGATTTCAGGGTCACATCCTCTTTATCTCTCTCCACGATCTCATTTAGCCGTGACTGAGTGCTGTAGAGTGAAGGAGACCTGGGTCATGGTCAACATGCTCTCTTTATTCTTTTATCTTCTTTTTAAGGGCAGAGGCTTCAATCATTTGACCTCCATAGTCACAAGTGTTGTCTGCTAATCTGTTTGAGTTATCTACATAATAGCTTATAGAACATTATATATAATTATGATATATACCTGGTAGAATATCCCTGAAGCCCACATTTTTAAATTAAGATTGCTTCTTGTGTTTGACATTTTCATCAGATTCATTTTCTGAAATCATTGTATCCAATGTAATCGTATAGTCGGTGCTATATTAACAAAAATACAGTCATCTATCACGAGTTATATCTTAATTTTTGATTATAAATGGCTCTAATGGCAACATGTAAACATTAGTTCTGTCTTGAGTGAATGCTTCACTTTACTGAACAATACATTAAATACTTACAGCAATTGATTAGCATGTTGTCACAGATAAAAGTCAAATCCAACTTTAATATAAGGTTAAAACTAATACATTACAACAAGTCTTCCTTTTCTACTTTCTTCTTTATGTTTCTCTTCTATTTCTTCACTTTTGTAGCAACTGGCAGCTTTTATCAGACAGACATACATAATAAGATTTGTGCTGCCTGTTCTCCATCATGCTGCATCCTCTGCTTTCTTGACACTCTTCCTCTTTTTTCTTTCTCTGTATTCCCGTCCGTCTCACCCTGATTTAGGTGTACGAGCTGACTCAGGAGTTCTTCCAAAACGGGAAGCCAGTTTGTGCTGAGAGCCAGAACAGCGTCGGCGTCTTTACACGGGACGTGGTGCGCAAGAAGATCATGCTGGATCCAGATGATCCTGAATGCACCAAGAAGCTCAAACTGTCCATGCTTCAACAGTACCTCAAGGTGTGTGTGTGTGTGTGTGTGTGTGTGTGTGTGTGTGTGTGTGTGTGTGTGTGTGTGTGTGTGTGTTTGTGTGTGTCTGAGTTCATATTCCTGAATCATTTCACATGTGGAGAGTCATTGTGAAAACGTAGTTGATGTACAAACCTAAAATCCCCTAGAATGAGACAGCAAGTCTAACACATAGCCTACTGTATTTTCAGTGACTGTCAGTGTTTTGTTCAACCAACAGCCTAAGACATACCTGCCAACCCTACCGGTTTGGGCGGTAGTCTACCGCTTTTGACATTTTCTACCGCCTACCGACTTAGCTGGCTTTCCCTACCGATTTTCAATCTTCCCAAACTATAACAAATACAAATGACACTCCATGGACACTGGACTCGACTTTTGGCGGACACCGTTTGCAGCGTGTCTGTGATCGCATCATACAAACAGTCCTATGTGTTTCTGAAAGAGAAACAACGCGCAGACCGGGGGTAACGCTGCCTTTCCTCTGCACCCCCGGGGCTGATGGGTAATCACTCCCAAATGAGTGGAATGAGGGAACAGAGACGAGGCATTTGAGTCCTGCAGGATTTCCCCGTTAGTATCAGTGTCTCGAAAACACATGTTGGCGACTGAAAGACNGGGGTTGGTGTTGCTATCAAGTCCGAGTCAACCGCCGCGGTCTCTAAAGAAAACCACCCACGACACTCCCATCGAACTGCAAAGTATCTCACGCGAGGTTAGTAAATCCCAAAGGGTAACCACATGGCAAGCGGACTGTCACCCTTAAAAGATGACGTTTGTCAGGGGTGCGTGTCTATGTGTTGACATGGGCGCTGACAATGTTACTTCCGAGCATATTGTCGAGTTCCGTCTATCCCATTCGTCCGCCATTTACGAATAAAAAATATCCCCAACACCCATAGAGAAGAGTATCCCCCCAGGCCCGTTCGAGCGGCCATCTAAAAAATCCCTATAGGCTTAAATTTTACGTAGTTCCAGCACCAGGTGCAACTCTCCGTTGTTACTTCTCTAGATCACCTTATGTAGAGACGTTGTGGGTCTATACTTATAGTCCTTCGACATAACACACACAGACAAGAAAGAAATACCTATAAAATGCACCTAGTGAGCAGACTCCTTGCGAAATAAGAAACAAAATTAGCAGTGATATACACGAAGCCTCTAGACAAAAATTAACACAGAGATAAGATTATGCCTATTACTAGTACCTTCTGACCAGGAGCCTGTTATTACAAAAACACATATATATAACACACTAGAGCGATATAATGCAAACTCTAGGCGTCGTACCTCTGATTGTGACCTCTTCTCAGGAACAAATTCGAGTGACTCCGAGAGTCCTCATCCACTCTCCCGAGAGAGAGAGATAAAACAACACTTTTTAGAGGAGAATATAGGATCGCATCGAGCGATCGAATGGTCTTGATTGTTGTAAGACAAGACAGACACAGGACACACATGAGAGAGAGAGAGAGGAGCGAGCGCGGTGCATGTGTTTTACCGAGCAAGGTGTGTGTGTGTCTCGGCCTCGAAACTTCTCCTCTGTCTCTGGGTCTGCATTAAATTCATGACATAGTATAATCAAAAGTTTAGTTCCTCCCTCTAAAAAGTTTTATACAAAAATTATTGGTAAACCAGGAGGACCCAGAGACGCGCGGGGGGAGACAGTACGGAGTTGGGGGGGGGGGGGGGGTGTGTGTGTGAAAGCTCTTGGTGACGGTTGTAATGTACCAAATTCTGGTGTTCATATAACAACTTTGAGGATGTATTAATGCTCGTTAGTTCCACGACGTGCCAGAGCACCCTGCCCCAGACGATAGCCGAAGGCTCTCATTGTTGGTTTTGTACCTCTCCGTCGTAAATCGATAATACGGTGCTGTGAGACCTTGTTTCGATGGGTTTTAGTACGTGCAGGCGTCTTTGCCGAATGATTAAAAAGTTTAGGCTCTGATTCCCCACGTAAGTGTGGATTATCAAGGCAAAAACTTAAGCGTGGTTTCTGCTGTCAAAAGATGGTACAAGTAACAAGTCTTCCAAGCCAAACGCAAGTGTCCCGGTTTTGAGGTTTGCCAATATCGAAATTTGTGTTCAGTTACCACGTGCCCTTTACGACAAGTTGGTAACCAGTCTGTAATTCCCCTCATTTTTGCGTGCTAAGGGCCGTTAAAGATGGCCTCGGAGGCGATACCCCGTAGCCAGTTTTTTTGTATAAGAGACATAATCAACCTAGGGGGGGAAGTACTTATACTAACACCCCCCACGTTAATAAAGAGTTGAGTAGACAAATTACATTATAATTCCGGAATTGTCAATCACGTATTATAATCTCGCAACCAGTGTAACTCCTGCCGAGACACTTCACTTTTCTCCAAAGGGGGGGCCTGACAGAAAAAGTTTGAGAACCACTGGTTTAAGGGAACAGAGACGAGGCATTTGAGTCCTGAAGGATTTCCCCGTTAATATCAGTGTCTCGAAAACACATGTTGGCGACTAAAAGACATCCAGTGTTTGGTATTTTCCTGAAGAATCCTTCACCTACAGTGTCTCAACTGAAAGAGGACCACAAACACACAAAAAATATAATACAATTTTGGGGATATTTATCTCCCGTTCTTTCACTTTTTCTGACATTTTCAACACCAACACCATGTCGTTAATGTCTCTGTTTAGTGAACTACAGCAATCTGAAAGCCTGTACATTATCTATATTACACTTTATCAGTAGAAAAATGCAGGAAATGACTTTTTTAATGCAGTATTTTCTGATTTATGGCGCAACACAAAGATATTTCGCTCTGTGCAAACCTTTGACTCTAATATGTCAACAACATGAAACAAGAATATGAACCTGGCTTTATCCAATGTTCACACAAGAGTTCTACATCCTGACACATCCTTCATCTACACTGTCTCAACTGAAAGAGGACCAGAAACACATTACAAATATAATAAAATGTGGAGACTTTGGGATATTTATCTCCCATTCTTTTACTTTTGCACATTTTACAGACCAAACATGTCGTTGATGTCACTGTTTACCAAACTACCACTTTTTCTGAATAATGCATAAAATGATGCGATACATGTTAAATACATGGTTTATACATGTAATTACTGGGGTTCCATTTCTTCTGATTACCTAATTTGGGCGTGCACATTTGCCGCGTGCAAACCTACCTCTTTTGGATTGGGAAAGGTTGTCATGTATGCTAAGATAATCATAGATAAACACATATTTTTGTTTAAACAGAGAAAGGCAACACATTCACATTCAATACAAGGCGACCAGCTAATGTTTGGCAGTTTTTCTTGATAAACAACCGATAGCCTATAATATAAAGGATGCCTAATATAAAGCTGCAGTCAGCTGCCTATTAGCTTAGCTTAGCACAGCGACTGGAAACGGAGAAACAGCTAGCCTGGATCTGTCAGTAAGAAAATCTTCCTACCACAAATTAAAAAAGTTGTAGCACTAGCATTTCATGTAAAAAGCCATTTTTCTTGTGAGTGCTACATCATATTCATGTCCACACACAAAGAAAGGAACTGTAGCCTACCGTGCTAAGAACACCAGCTAACCGCTTCCATACAAGCTCATTCTTTTTTAATGCGTCAGTCACATAATTTATGCTTTTTAATAACTCACCACCAGTATGTGTCTACTAAATAAAAGGTGTGTGTCCCAAGGTGTGCTTAAACCAGTTGAGTCCTGCAGAGTTGTTCTACGTATTCAATGGGTGCAGAGAGTTTATTTTTAAATGCCTGGTCTTTGGATGTACCAGCTGATACTGGTTTATTGGAAAGCAGGTAATGTGGTTAATAATAAATTACTCTTGGCTGTATAAATATAACGGTTTGTCCTCTGTGTTTATTTTCCTCTTGCTTCAGGTGGAGAGTTGTGAAAGCAGCTCCCCCAGTATGGACGAGGTGTCTCTGAGTGAGTTTGGCGAGTGGACAGAGATCCCTGGTGCACATTATGTCATTCCTGAAGGTTTCATGAAGGTGGTGGAGCTCCTGGCCCAGGACATCCCCTCTCGCACCCTCTCTCTCAGCAAACCAGTCCGCTGCATCCACTGGAACTACTCTGCCAAGCATCAGCAGGCGATTGCCCAGAGCAGCCACACCCACCAGGGCAACAACCACAATGAATACTACCACGGCTGCCAGCCTCGCGAGGACCCTCTGATCTTCGGCCACCCCATTTACGTGGAGTGCCAGGATGAGGAGTGGATCCCAGCCGACCACGTGATCGTGACATCTTCTCTGGGAGTCCTGAAGCAGAACCATGAAGCCATGTTCTCCCCCTCCCTGCCTGAGGAGAAAGTGCTCGCCATCGAGAAGCTGGGCATCAGCACCACCGATAAGATTTTCTTGGAGTACGAAGAGCCCTTCTGGAGCCCAGAGTGCAACAGCATCCAGTTTGTGTGGGAGGATGAGGCTCTGCTAGAACAGCTGGTGTACCCCGAGGAGCTGTGGTACAAGAAGATCTGCAGCTTCGACGTCCTCTACCCGCCCGAGCGCTACGGCTACATGCTGAGCGGCTGGATCTGCGGCCAGGAGGCTCTGCAGATGGAGCGCTGCGATGATGAAACAGTTGCTGAGACCTGCACTGAGCTGCTGAGGCGCTTTACAGGTCAGGACCTCACGCAAACAACACGCAAACCTACCGAATTACATTCCCACACCTCTAAACTGCATTCTCTTAAGTTTTGGGTGAAAGGTATTTGCTCCCTTACTATGGTTGCCATACAGTACAAATAAAAATCAACAAAAATACTTTTAGGTTTATGTTCAGAAAATATATCATTTTTCAGGAGACCCCGGTGCACACACACAAAAACAGAGCTGTGTGTTTCGGACAAATGTTACGCCACATAAATGTTTGTGTTGTTCTTTAGGTTGATTCTTTGTGTATCATTTATTCCCACTTTTAGATATTTACTCCTATGACTTTTTTATTCAGTCGTTATCTAACCAAATGATTCAATTTAAAAGTTTTATAATTCTGACTTTTGTACATTTTCATGACAGACAAGACATGATCAACTTCCGTCTTCCAACTCTATTCTAGTTTAACCAACAATCAATAATCTAAAACCAACACAAGGCTGTTGTGAGAGCTCGGTGACTCATACACAGAGTTACTTGGTTGGGCGATTGTGTTTCATACAAAGGAAATGACATAAGCTACAGCTGTGATGCAAGTAGCCTTTTAGGGAGAAAAAGGTGGACAGATGATACAGCTGGATGAATCACATGACCGATTTATGTCCAGTGTGTCACTGCCACAAAATCAACAATGAGCCAAAAAGTTGATCAAATGTCGGATAAAATCAAGAGGTGTTTAATTGACTGACACTGAATCAGGCCATCTTTGTTCCTGTAACACAAACACACACAATGTCATGGGTGAGGCATATAATTTGTTGCTACTACTCGTTTTCTAAAATGCTGAATTTCTTGTGCAACAGAGGGATTGTCATGCTTCAAAGTGATTGAATGTTAATGGTTTTAATCGTATGACATTAGGATGACTCATTCCTTAGGATTATTGAGATGCGTACCGATACTAAGAAGAATGACTCAGATATTATCTTCAGTAAAGTAATTTCCTCAGAAATAGGTCACAGTTATTGACACACACACACACACACACACACACACACACACACACACACACACACACACACACACACAGATGTCCTCACATAACCCACATTGCCCCCAGTGTTAGCACGGATGTTAACATTGT